TATCTGTTATAACTAACTAACGAACGAACGAAAGATGATTATGAGAGAGCGACGTCATATATTTATTCTTAGAAGATTGGTTGAATTGAGCTGACTTGACCATGCATGTCGCCACGAGACAAACTTCGAAACATGTGACAAGCCACCTGTAATTACCTGCCCTTTAGTCACCTGTAATTATCTGCCTTTTAGTTTCAAATGCTCTACGCCCAAATGATATAACTTAAAATGATAAATCAAACCAAATCCTTAAACTATCAATTGTATAAACTGACATCTGACCTTTGATATAAGTACCTTTGTGCTGTGTTTATAACTTCAGCAGTTTCAGTGTCCATACAACTAATTTCAGTTTCAATTTGTTTTACTATTTCAGCCTGTCTATATCTAACAAAAGCCAGTGAAAACTTTACGATGACATCTATTGCCTTGTTCTGAAGAGGATGGTTCTTGTTTATGCCTTCCCGAACAGTTCTCTGAGAAGGTAAATACTCAGCCGCTATCAAATGATTTAATTATTCTTAGCTTTTGTAAATGCTGACTTAGCATTTGCTTTCTGTTGTTTGGGAATCAAAATTTGCTCCATCACAGACCATTCTTTGTCTACAGTAGACTTCTGTTCAGAGACTTCAGCCCCTTCAAAACTATCATTTGGGTTTTCAGCCATACTATTTGAGAATGCTAATAAATACCAAGTGGCATTTCCAATTTCCTTACACTGGCAAACTATCTTATACACTATCAAAGATACGAACAGACTGTTTTTGAATTGTTTCTTGAAACACCTCAGCTGAACTGATAGTGCCAAAGTTAAGGTTGCCTGAATCGATACCAGTCAACATAAGCAGCAGACCTTGAATCTTCTGTAGGTTCATGGTTGTAGGTTTGGTTCAGGTCCAACTTGCTGAAGACTTTTGCACCTGTGAGAAGTGACGTGAGCTCATCAAGTGTTACTGTCTCTCCGTTGTCATAGCTTTATTGTCAGCTCTCATGTCAATTATACCCTCACATGTCCTGGACTGTTGGGTTTTGGGACTACGACAAACCCATTGTTTAGGGCCAGTAGATGTTTCTATAACACCTAGCTCTTCATCGTTTTTCAACTGCTCTTCAATATCTTTCCGAACACGGAATGGCACTCTTCACAGATGTACTACTGTCAATGTGTAACTTCATGTATGTATCTTAAGATTTGGCTTTGGTAGTGTATGATTCACAATAGCCAAATGTTCAAGATCTTGTTAAGTGTTCCACTTAAGGAGGAATTCTTCATTGCCTTTGGCAACACAAACAGAAACTGTGCATTGTGTGTTCTTGGATACCAGATCAGCTTGGAATTTCCAAATCACAGATTTTGCATCATGCTTTCTATGGGTGATAATGTGAATTTGTGTGCGAGAAAGGGGCGGCTTGGTATCTAGTCTACTGTTGATAGTCCAGCCCCTGTGTTCACACTGGCACCCAAATCAGCTAATGCAGACACTTGATACTTATTGTAATGTCAGTAGCAACGAACATGAGTCAGAATCATTGCTGTGCAATAGTTTGTTTGCCCCTTGGCTGTTGCAGGTTTAATTCAAACAAATACTTTCAAAGTGATTTACTTTTCTACATTTTTATACATATCTGTCCAAATGCAGGGCAGTTCCTCAGATCTTTACTATGTGGCAATTCTCAAGGTTGCTTGAGTGTTGTGTTTTTGACTCATGCTGAAGTTGATTCACTGAAGATTCTGCCAGGGTTTTGTTCGAGTAAGTTTGTGTCAGTTCATGTGATCTTGCATATTGAAAATCTGAAAGTGTAATATTTGGTACTAAGTACTTAGTTCTTTTTCTCTTACGTTTGCTGATTTGCATCCAGTTATGATTTGAGATTTAATATCTTCACTTTTTCAACCTGCGAAACCACAGGACGCTGTCTAAATACAAGACATCGCTGTATCCAAACTTTCCTCTTTTATGCTTGAACATCTGAAGAAAAGACACTTGAAAACTTTTTGTGATGGACTGAGGCACCCCCATGCAACACAGTATGCTATCTACTACACACCGGAATGATTGAAAAATCACTTCATTGTCATGAATGCACTGTAAACAAAGGAAAACGGAAGTCAGATTTTCACTAAGACGTCACAGCCTGAACTTGGCCGAGGCTTGCAATTGGATTATGATAAACGCAGATTGTGGGATTTGCACATTTGTTTGTTGTAAATAATAGGCTTACTTGTGTGATAATAGGCATACTTTGTTCAGCCTCTTAACATATGTTATGAAGTTGATATTCAATATATCTGCTTTAATGACTTTATCCCAAGTATATGTCAGTGGTCACAGCACTCGGATTACTTAGACAATGAAACATAACTCACGATGCCTCTGAGGGTGTCAAGGATACAGAAATCAGTGGTTCGCATTTCGTATGTTGGGTGTAATTATTCAATCTGAAACTGGCTTATAAAAAGGCTGGATATGGGGAATGTATGGCATGCGACATGCACGTGGCAGCACAGAGGGAACTGGGCAGTTGACTTGACAAAACTGAAAAGGATTGACCGATAGATTTTTCAAGTGTTTACATATGGAGGCTTACTAAAGCAGACCAAATACACTCACATCTAAGAGTCTTTGTAAAAACAACATACTTTGTTCAAAGGATTAGACGATACTATATTGATTGATTGTTCATTATTGTTTAACAAAAATGTGTGTTCAAAAGAACAATAGATATTTTAAAATATTATATTTTAACAAAGACACATGACATTGAACAAGTTTGTTTGTACAGCTTGAGTTGTATAGGATATTGTTCCCATGTGTGGATATTTATGGATATATTTCTTGAACAAGGTAACAGCCTGATATTATATTTGTAACAGTTTGGTTTTACCTAAGATAGTGCAGGGAGATAGATGTTAGCTAAACCTTGTCATTTATTAGTGGATATTTTCTGAATAAAATGATCTGGTACCCATCAGTGGTAAACATTCAGATTTCCCAGCATCTCCTCTGAAACCTAAGTGCTGTAGCTTTAAATCAATAATATATGTGCACATGACTAAAGTCCATTTCTTAAGCCCACCTCAATTACTTTTTTAAACCCTCCTTCGGCTTTATGACAGCTGCCATTTGGGCCTATTTCTCAGCCATATCTTAATTATCATAAAGTTATCATAGACATGGACGAGATGAGTGTGATATATTTAACTCATCAGGATCATGTCTGAATCACCATCAAACGGTGATGACAAGGAGTGAGTCAGCGAGGGAGTTTAGTTTTTATGCCGCTTTTAGCAATATTCTAGTAATATCGTGGCGGGGGACACCAAACATTCGCTTCACATATTGTACCCATGTGGGGAATCGAACCTGGGTCTTTGATGTGTTGAGCGAACACTTTAACCACTAGGCTACCCCACCACCAGAGATGAAAAGGAGAAGAAAGTTTCACCAAACTAGCCCCGTTACAGACACATTCAAGACCAAGCCAGTTGTTCACCCGAAAGGACATTGTGAACACCAGGTACAGGACAAATATGGACTCAAAAAGGTTTGGGCTTGAACTGAAAAATCTGAACACTTCTACCGTAGCAAAAAAACAATATTAGTATGAATGAGTGGCATCGACATTTTAGAAATCTTTTCAACTCAGAAACTGATAGTACTGTTCATTTTGTTGCAAATCCATCAACATTTCCCGACTCTAATTTGGCGCTAACAGAAGATATGCTGGATTCTCCTATTAGCAGCGACGAAATTTTGGACAGCATTAAATGTTTAAAACCTAATAAATCACTAGGCATTGATGACATAATACCTGAGTTAATTAAGAATTCGGCAGATATCTTAGCACCATATTTAGAATTATTATTATTTAATATAATATTAGAAAATGGTACTTTTCCAATTAGTTGGACAATCGGTATTATTGTCCCGCTTCATAAACAAGGCAGTCTGGATAATCCAAATAATTACAGAGGCATTACTCTTTAAGGTTTTCACTTCTATGATAAACAGAAGATTAGATTTGGGGAGAGGCATTGAATAAAATAAATGAATCTCATGCAGGATTTAGACATGGATATACAACTACCGACAATATGTTTAAATATATTACAAAGTATTATACAGAGATACCTCAACATCAAAGGCGTTAAACTCTATACACTTTTCGTTAATTTCGAAAAAACATTTGATTCAGTTGGCAGACAAAAGCTATGGTCTATTTTATAATATCCACGGTCTAAGTCCTAAAATGAAAAAAAATATTCATAATATGTTTGAAAATGTTAAAGCTTGTGTTAAGAATAACAATGAGTTCTGAGATTCTTTTAAACTACAACTCGGGGTAAGACAAGGCTGTATACTTAGCCCATTTTTATTTAATTTTTATTAATGAACTAGCAACCCAAATTGAAAGCAATTGTGAGTATGGAATAAAGTTACACCCTGACATAGTACATATTTTTCTCTTGCTTTTTGCAGACGATATCGTGCTATTCTCAAGCACTGTCGCAGGTTTACAGAGACTTATACAAGAACTTGAGAGTTATTGTGACAAATACATATTAACTGTAAATAGAAACAAAACAAAAGTAGTAGTTTTTAATAAGGGGGGACGTTTATCAAAAAACGAGAAATGGTTGTATAAGGGTAAACAATTAGAATGCAGCAGTTCGTACAAATATTTGGGAATGTTCTTCAGTAATTGTTTATCTTGGACAACACATGTTAATTACGCTTGCTTGCAAGCACAAAAGGTTATGATAGGTATCTTTAAACAATTAAATGTACTTGGAGACATGAATATAAGTTCATACTTTAAAATCTTTGATGCCAAAATTAAGCCAATTTTATTGTATGGAGCCGAAATATGGGGTTTGAGTTATTACAATGATATCGAAAGAGTTCAATTGAAAGCATGTAAAAGATAGTTTGGTTTTAAATCCAATACGATGAATACAATGGTGTATGGAGAATGTGGTAAATATCCGATGTATTTACAAATATCAGAGCTATAAAATACTGGTTAAAATTACTGAAGGTGCCTTCTTACAGGCTACCAAAGAAATTTTACAATAATTATGATGATCGTATTCGATAAAAATGGACACACAAATTGGGTTTCTTCTGTTAGAAAGGTTCTATGCTCAAAGGGTTTTGGTTTCGTGTGGAACGATCAGTATGTTGACTCTGACGGTAAGTTTATTCTAGAACTAACAAGAAGATTAAAAGATATCTATTTGCAAGAATGGTTTGGAAAAATATCACTCCAGTAAATCCTTGTATTATAAAATGTTTAAATGTACTTTTGACGCCGAAATTTATCTTTCATGTCTAAACGTGAAAAAGTATAGGATAGCGTTAAACAGATTGAGATGTCTTCACATGACTTATCAATCGAAAGTGGAAGATTTAACCATGTCAAAAAAGAAAAATAGAAGAACAATATCAGTTTCTTTTAATCTGCCCTGCTTATAATTCCCTGAGAAAGTTGTATATTAAGAAATACTATTTTGTCCATCCAAATCTTTATAAATTCTTAGCATTGCTAAATAACAAAAAAACATACGATTCTTCAAAACTTGTCCATATTTGCTTACTATGCCATGTTGTTTAGAACAGAAGATAACTAAGAACACAATGTAACCTACAGTTGAAATAGTACCGGAAATAAAGAATATTTGGACAAATATGGACAACTACATCAAGCACCAGTTGTTAGCAGTCGATACGTCTGGAAACAGTCAACAAGTCCAAAACAAAAGCCCCACCCTTGTCCAAAAATAACCCTGATCAAGGTCCTAAATATAAGACCCAATTAATTTCATAAAACTAATTGCAGAACCATAGAATTCTGAGCCATTTAATAGGTATACACATCAGATTCAGAACAAATGAATCCAGGTATCTGTTCATTAAATGCTATTGATATTCTAGTTGGTAGGACCTGAGAATTGGATTAGTCTCCAGTTGACAGCAAAGCGTAGACATTTCTGAGAGTCTCGATGGAGATATGCATCCTGCAGATCTATGCAGATCACAGAGTCCCCTATGTTCCATATAGACGCCATCCAGAAACCTGGGTGGTTTTCTAAGGTATTCCTCATTGTAGACAACAATTCTGAGCTCTGTAAAATCCTTCTTATGGTTCCAGAAAATACTGGTCCCGGACAATCAGTCCGTCAATTGTCCGTAGATTAAAATCACGAGACACCAAGTCTACCTGTAACCTTCGGAATTGTCCGTGACTGATGCAACTCTTTCGGCCTTTGTGCCTCTGCTCCAAATGTTTCTTGATCAGGCATAAAGCGCCAGGTTCATGATCCAGTAAGCTTAAGGTGCCGGGATCGAGCCCACCTGTGACCGGGCGGACGCAGCAACGTGCAATAAAACTTGGACAAAGTACTCTGACTATGTGTCCCAGTCCACCCAAATGTTAATGGGTACCTCGGTAGGATGGGAAAACAACATAACTCGGCGTGCCTAGTGATCCCCCAGGGAGTTGAGATTAAAATACGATGTGCCGTTGAGATTGACATCCAATGGTCAAGGGAAAAACAACTTCGGTAGCGCCTTAGAGTAATATAGAAGTAGTTCAAATAGGGCACTATAGAAATGTGGAATATAATAATAATATACATGTAATAATATTATTTTATATCAACACATTTTCATCAGATGCAATGATGGAAAACAAGTCATTTAATGATTGAAAGTTATGTAAGAGAGTTCTCTTTTACTCAGATTCATAAATGGTATTTCATTATGAATTACCTGAGTTCATTAGCTAATCTTCTTTGACTGACATGACAATGCCCTTTTTTCAATTTACTTTACAATTCATTGGTTACACTTCCTTGACAGACTGGCAATGTCCTTTTCCAGTTTACTTTACAACAGTTCTCTGATTGCATCATCCATCGCTGATCTGTTCTGCTGTTACTGATTCAATTGGCTAGTTGAATAATTTCCCTAAAACATAGATCGTCCTGAAACTTTTTCATGGCAACAGCTTTTCCAATTCCATGGATTCTTGATGTCGTATCACAGCCAAAGACAGCATGTATAAACAAGTTCTGACAAGCATCTTCTCCATGCTTCTTCTTGGTTTCGCTGATATTCCAAACTGGAATTCTTTTCAAATAACTTTTCTTGGGGGTTGACAGCACAAAGATATCATGCGATTCCAGTAGATCCGTGTCGTCCCCTTTGACAACTGTTGATGGTATGCAAATGAAACTGCTGTTTGAACTATCACAACATCAGCATCACCAGTGGCCTGAACTGTGTCACATCCTTCAGCTTGGTGATAGGAACACACCATGACCAACTGTTCTTTGTTCTGAACAGTGGCGAGGATGACTCTTTCTTTGATTGTAAGATCGGACTGTCATCAAATTTAACTGTTGGTCTGACAAGTCCACCAGTCCGCCTCATTTGTGTTGCATACTTTCTCGATGAACTTGAGTATCCATCTAACACAACAGTAGCTCTGTCATTGTGTATTTTGACATATGTGCAGTACATGATGCACAACGCAGCATAGGATTCTCCACGTGGCCAAGGTAGAGAATGAAGCAAAGCCCTTCCATCGAGAACATAAACAGCATCAGAAGCTGGACCAGGGGACAAAACCACCATCCAATGTTGATATGAATGAAACCAGGGCAGGTTTGTTTGCTTCCTAGCGGCAATCAGAAACCGTTGAAACACTAAAACTTCACCAATGTTGCAGATTTCTTCTTATTTCTCATTCATTTGTACAACTTGATCTTCCTTCTTGACAACTTGATCTTCCTTTTTGAGACACGTGAAGGTTCCGGGTTAGAATATTGATTTTCAGTAACCCATGCTTGTCGTAAGAGGCTTGTAACGGGATCGGGTGGTCAGCCTCGCTGACTTGGTTGACACATGTCTTCGGTTCCCAATTGCGCAGATCGATGATCATGCTGTTGATCACTGGATTGTCTGGTCCAGACTCGACTATTTACAGACCGCCGCCATATAGCTGAAATATTGCTGAGTGCGGCGTAAAACTAAACTCACTCACTCCTTTTTGAATTTGAAATCGCCAGTGGTTGTGTTTGTCGCACAGTCCAAAATAGAGCTAGCAACTCAACATGCATCATCTGCATTCACAGTTGCACTCTATATGCAGTGTTTCTTTAAGTAGTTTCATGCCCACATTCTTGTCTCTCTCCTGTCTTGAATTGGACATGTCCTTGTGTAGTTCAGAGTTTCTGTTTGTACTACTTGTAAGATCACTCATGGCATTGCTGACTTCCATGCATGATGGCATTGACATAAGCCTTTGCGTTTCAGACATGCCTGCCCCCCCTTGTAAGTCCTCCGTTTGTCTTAATGCTCGCATGAGCACCTGTTCAATCACAAGATCTGTTTAAGGTCCTCCCCAATAGCAATCGGAACGGCATATAACATGATGACCTGAGTTTTAAGGTCTTGGGATGTGTTCCTTGTGTGTCATCAACTGAACGTACAACTGAACTGATTTGGTATACAAGTTATGACAATAGACTTTAGGTGCATCTTCCCATTTCCTAATGTTTCAGCTTTAATGAAATTCCACAAGATATCTACCATGTTCATATACTGGATCGAAAGTTTCGCTGTCCTCATATTGCTCAGTGCATCTTTTTCTTGGTTTCACTGATGGTGAATGTTCTTTATGTGTTTGAAGAAGATACTTCACCAACAGTCAAGGATTCACTCACCAGCTCATTGTACAGCACTGCCGCCATGTTGAGATCGTCACCATCGCTGTTTTGAAGGGGAGTGGCAAGGTCAGCTTCATCAGAAGGCTTACAAAACCTAGGAAGGTTCACGTTAAAAGCTCTTGTGCACTGGGAGCTGTGGCTACAAGAAAGTGAGCTCGAATTGCTCTGGCAACAGCTTTCCCTGTTAGTATGTAACTAATTGTGTAACTGGCATATATCACTACCAGAAGTTCAAATAGGCCCTATCCAGACATGATATTTCGAATCAATCCCAAAAGGCGACGTTCTTCAAATCCCTTGATGAAGGCTCACTGGAAATTTTCATTCAAGCTTTCCGCCAGAGAGGCTAATCAAAAGTGACGATTGGTGTTACATTGGTTTCCATGGCTTGTGTGGTGACAAGTCACTTGGGCTCATGTCAATCAATGTTAGTGAATTAAAATTTATAGCACCTCAGCTGCATTTCTAAATGTTTGTTTTATTTTTTAAAATGTTAAAGTACAATGTTTTAAAATTAATAAAACATTGTTTTTTAGCAGATATTTATTTTTACATAATCGTAGCATACACATACATGTGGATGTCTGAAACGATTTTCATATTTTTCAGAACGTTTTTTTTGATTAAAACAAATATGATGAGGCTAATACCTATTAAATCAAATATCTTTGAAAAGCCTGTAAACAGAGCTTTTATTTGATATATAACATGACACAATTGAGTAGATTACAAAAAAGTTTGCATTTCCATTTAAGATTTCGAAAGCGAAGATGACCCCTATGACCTTGAGGGTCGAATTTGACCTTGTTCCACCACTGAGATTTTCCTAGACTTTTCATATGTTATAAAGGAATGGTTCAGGGCCTTAAAACAGTTGAAATCATTTCTGTTGCAATTTGTGGTGGGTTAGGTCAGAATCTTACCAGGATGACTGGACTAAAGGTGTATGTGACTGAGTAATGTTCTGAAGGTTCCATAGATAACCCCAAAGATGTCACTTCCAGCTCATCGAAGGTGTCTTGTTTATGATGGGCTGTTTTATATGAAGCACGGCTTGTGGTATCTTCAGTCATATGGTCTGTATGGTCCATTCTATATATGCATACGGTGCTGCCCGAGTTGTAATCCTGTGCTGTCTTTGCTATGTGACGACTATATCCCCTGCAGTCTGTATGGTTTACGCTGCTCCTGTGACCTGTTCTGGCTATGTGTTCCATGTGCCTGGATCTGATGTGGGACTCCATATCTGGATCAGTTGACCCTCTGCAGTCCGTATGGCCCAAAGTGGTCCATGACTTGATCTTGATCAATTTTCGCATGTATAGGCCTATATTTCGCCTGTATAGACCATGACTTGTGCACATGTAGATCATGG